ACTAAGCCAGTGTCCACCTCCAACTGAAATACCAGTTTTGAACAGATTTTAGCCTTTGATGTTGTGCACACTCCAATGCAACAGATTTTAGCGTTGCTTGTCGCAATCGTATGCCAATAACCAATTATCATTTTAGGAACGATCGTTCGACTTTCTAGTTCTTATTGGGGGTCATACAGACGTTCGTTTTTTGACCGCAGTGATGAGGTTTGAAGGAGCATACATTTCTAACAGTGAATGTGTTTTTTTGGAATGAAGATCCATTCATTCCAACATCGAATGACATTCGTCATTGAATGTATTAAGAATTTTGTACGAACGTTCACATGAAAATCTACTAGTGTATTGGCCAGCTTGGGGAGGGAAGGGTTAAAAAGCCTTTTTTTTTTATTTTTTTTTATTTTGCTGTAGGTGTCCCACTGGGGAGATTCTCTTTCACTTTCTGTTCATGTGACACCTATAATGGAAAGTGCAGTTGTCACTAGAACAGGAAGGCACACTCGGCAATGAAGGCATTGTCAGACGTTCTGACTCTCCATCATTCTACTGAAAAAAATGTTTTCCTATCTGTGTCTACAGTAAAGATTTATCACCACTTCCTGTCCTGAAGACACATTGCTTCCTACTATAGGGAACTGGGAATAACAAGGAAGTGAGGAGAGATCCCTCCAAAGTGAAAGGAAATACTCTTGGATAATAATCGCCTTAACAAGTGTCCCCATTGAAAGATTTCCCCTCCATTCCTGAGCCAGCGACCACTCCAAATTTTTAGATTTCCTCCATTTCAGTGCCGGTGACAATGGTCACCAAGACAAAATGGATGGTGGAATCTTCCCAGTGGGGACGCAGCACGCAACAAAAACCTAGCAGAGGTTCTAACCCTTCCCTATTCTATCCAAAAAGTGGCCTTAGATACACTTTGGGCTCTATTTATGAAAAAAAAAAAAAATTTTGTTGTGAGAACGTCTCAAGCAGTCACACACCCATCATGAATAATCGGCGTAATTAGTGCATTTACTTTCTATAATCATCAGCTCTATCTAGTGGCCATAATGCGGTCTTTTCCTGAAGTGCCCCATAAATGAAGATACCGCAAACTGACCACTAGATGGAGCGGGCGATCATAGGAAGTAAACATAGTACACAATTTATGGTGAGTATTGATGACGTTTGCGCAAATGCTTGAGACATTTGCAGAGAATTTTTTATAACCAAACCCCCTATGAATATCCTGTAACGAAAAAAAAAAAATACTTGCAGTAGTCTGCGAAATTTCTGAACAATAGTAAACAAAATGAGACTTGAGCTGGTAGGAGGAGCTGCATTCTTGGCAATTGTAACAGCAAATCTTTTCATCAACATAACTATAAAATTACTATCCTGTGCAAGGCTGCAACTCTTCCTCTATGTTCATTAAAAAAGGGATCAAAGTCATTAAAGGTGCTGCTTGCAAAATCCTTTGAAAACCTCCATAACCTCATTTTGTATTGAAAGTCCAGTAAAGTGTACGTCTCCCACAAAACACAAGGGCAGCCATTTTGAGCCCCATCCTACCAAGAAGTAATTCTTGTTTCGGCTCTGTCCTACAAAGAAGTAATTCTAGTTTTGAGGTCTGTCCTACCAAGAAGTACTTCTGGTTTTGGCTCAGTCCTACCAAGAAGTGCGTCTGGTTTCAGCTCTGTCCTACCAAGAAGTACTTCTGGTTTCGGCTCTGTCCGGTTCTGTCTTACTAAGAAGTACTTCTTGATAGGACAGAGCTGAAACTACCAGAAGTACTTCTGGTTTCGGCTCTGTCCTACCAAGAAGTGCGTCTGGTTTCAGCTTGGTACTACCAGGAAGTACTTCTGGTTTTGGCTCTGTCCTACCAAGAAGTACTTCTTGGTAGGACAGAGCTGAAACCAGAAGTGCGTCTGGTTTTGGCTCGGTACTACCAAGAAGTACTTCTTGGTAGGACAGAGCTGAAACCAGAAGTGCGTCTGGTTTTGGCTCGGTACTACCAAGACAAGCTGAAACCAGAAGTTCTGTTTTTGGCTCGGTACTACCGAGAAATACTTCTGGTTTTGGCTCGGTCCTACCGAGAAGTAATTCTGGTTTTGGCTCGGTCCTAACGAGAAGCAATAATGGTTTTGGCTCGGTCCTACCGAGAAGATGGTTTTGGCTCGGTCCTAAGTAATTCTGGTTTGGGCTCGGTCCTACCGAGGAGTAATTCTGCCTTCGGCTCTGTCCTACCGAGAAATAATTCTGGTTTCGGCTCTGTCCTACCAAGAAGTAATTCTGGTTTCGGCTCTGTCCTACCAAGAAGTAATTCTGGTTTCGGCTCTGTCCTACCAAGAAGTAATTCTGGTTTCGGCTCTGTCCTACCAAGAAGTACTTCTGATCTCTGCTCTGTTCTACCAAGAAGTACTTCTGATCTCTGCTCTGTCCTACCAAGAAGTACTTCTGGTCTCTGCTCTGTTCTACCAAGAAGTAATTCTGGTTTTAGCTCTGTCCTACCAAGTAGTACTTCTGGTTCAGGCTAACAAAATGGCTGCTTTGGTTGTGGGTACAAGACGGGTAATGCAGACTAAAAACACAAAGCTTTAAACAATTAAAAACTTTGAAACCAGTCACTTCCTTCATAGCTATAAAGCCAAAGGATCTAAGACCTCTCGTAAAAATGGACAGTTTCGAAAATTGTGTTTGTGAATGTTACCGCAAACACGTCAGCTTTTAAGACCTGGTTTGTTTTTTTGTAGTAAAAAAAAAATGTCACTTCTGTAAATTTGGCCCCGGCAAAGTTTATATATTTTATATATGGTTTATATTTTCTCGAATCAAGGATTTAGCAGAAGGTGTTACGTTTAACAGAACGGTTGAAGAGGGTGGCTGATCTTGGGGAGTATGGCCAAGCTTACGTCAAGCAGGAAAGGAAGGAGGAAAGGGATGATAGGTTTCAGCTGCTGTTCCATATCCCCAGGGGAGCCCCTTCCTGTACAAAAAATCATCTGGATCAAGGTCACTCCAATTTCTTTTTCATCTGTGGTTGTAGTAAGATGTCTAGAACCACATTCCAGGAGCAGTTAAAATATACACTACGTCTTGCCTTGAAATGAAGCCAACCCAACATGGGGGTCTGGAAGGGCTCCAATACCAAAAGAGGTGTCAGTTGCCCTAATCTATAATTCAGCCAATTATGTTGCTACTTAAAGCACATGTTCAAAACTTTCTGGCAACTGCGTCTTTGTAAGGCAGGACGTTGAACTCATCAACTTTTTTCGTAATTCCTGGATTAGCCGTTGAAATTTCTGCTTGCCAGACAGAAAAGGTTTAATTTTTGCTTGATGCCATGTAGATAGTCATACACGTTGGCTTTGATAGACCATTTCATATGTTACTGGTTCCTCCTTGGTAATAATGAAAATGGGAATTTTTGTGTTAGGCCCATATAGGTCAAGGGAAATCAGATTGGTAACTTACAATATAGGGTTGGAGATTGAGGCCACTTGGCATTCTCAAAGTGCTGGAGAACAATGTCCATCAAGACCTGCATGATGGGACTCATAATTCACCAGCACCTTCTGAAAGCCAGTAAGTTGGTTTTTGTACGTCTCCTCTTCCAACAAGCCAGATGGAAAGGAGTATTATGGTTTCAACCACAGGAGCTCAAGTGAGATCAGACCCCATGTGTCCTTTTAATTAAGCTGGCCATCCACCAGTAGAATTTCACTCGAACATTCAACTAGTTTGAAAGCCCCTAAAATTTCATCCAAACCAGCTATTTATGGAATCCCAGATGTATAAGAGTTTCTTCTTTGATTAGCTCATGTACATTACAATAGCTAACAGAAGTCACATTCACAGTTAGAATTGATTTTTTTTTCCCCAATAGAAAGCCAGAAACATTTTCCATCCTGCATCTTTGAGTTTTGTCAATATGGTCAAAAACATTAATTGACCCCATCATTAGAAACCTAAACGAGTGTTCCAAAAATGGAAATTTTCCAGTTAAATTCTGTTGCTGTATGGTCAGCTACACTCAAATTGTCTGTTTCCCACGGTACAAGACCCCCCAAAAAAAGAATTCTTAACACATGCTACAGAAACCTGACCATGACTGGACCCCAACCAACAGGGACATTAGTTTATACTACCGCTAATCCCACAATGGACCCAAAAGAAATTTTCTCTTGGTCAGAGCTTTTCCGAAAAGTCTTAGTTAGGATCACAGTTGTCACTACATCATAGCTTGAGGGAGTTCACAATCCGGCACTTCCCGGACTCTAAATTTGAGGTGCTGCTTATCTTTTAAACGCCTCTTATCTAGAGATTGCTATTGGCCCTTGTGTCATTTCAACACAAACATGACCTCAAGGTGTCTAAAAAAAAAAAAAAAAAAAAAAAAAGAAAGAAAAAAAAAAATCCTTTACATATGTAAACATGTCGACCTTTTAGTCCAACTCTAAAACTTCAATATCATCCAGCTCTTCCTATAGATTCTAGATCTTTAAAGCATTTCTGTAAGTACAGGTTTTATACTAGCATTATCTCATCACCTTTTTGATCTTTTTTTTACAGTGCCAAACATAAATGGTACAGGTTTGGTCAATTTATGGGTATGGAATTACCACGTCAACTCGACAAACGAGATGCCATAAACTTCCAATTTGTTGCAGCTTATTACAGTTGACAAATAAGAGCTTAAGTTTCTCTTTAAAAAAGAGAGAAGAGATCGAAGGATTCACCAGTATTCTGCTGATATTTTTGAAAGCCTTGTGCGGATTAGTGCCATTGTTGGTGGTACTGAAGTGGCGCATTGGAGAAAATTATTTTTTTTTTTTTTGTTAAAAAATGAGTTGTTTGGTTAAAACAATAACCCTGATGTAGAAGGAGCAGGTACTGGTAAACGTGGTGCTTAAAAAGGAATTGTGGGTAAAACACACTTTTTTTTTTTTAATGCCCGAGGTTACAGTGTCCCTTGTGGTCTTGTTGCAGATAACGGAGTTCAAGGAACAGCGATGGGGTCAGAGTAGTGTGGCTTGTTCGTAACATTCTTCAAAGTCTTTGCTCTTTCTGTTCAGTTTTTGAGCCGCTCGTCTGCGTCTCTGGTACTCCAAAAACTCCTCCTTCAGTGCTGCGCAGCGCTCTTCCGGGCTGGACAAAGCCTGCGGGAAACGGGTATCCAGGTCGTCCAGTGCTCCCGAGCCAGCCGGGCATGGATCTGCCTCCAAGAAGGAAGCTTCAAACCTTAAAAAAAACAAAACATAAGCCAGTTTAAGGGTCTGCAAATCTTTGATGATGCCACGTAGATAGGCCAAAACTTGGTTTTCATAGATCATTTTATGTGTTCCTAGTTTCTTTTTGGCCAAGATGAAAATGTGAACTTTTTAGTGATAAGCGATAGGCCGATACGGGTAAAGGGAAATCAGATACGTGCCTTACAATATACAATTTGAAAGCTAGTTTCGACACTGAGGCCACTTGCCATTCTCAAGGTGCTGGAGAACAATGCCCATCAAGACCTACATGATGGGACTCCTAATTCACCATCCAATTTGAAAGCTTGTTTGAGAATGGCAAGTGGCCTCAGTCTTTTAACGATCTTTCAAATTGTATGGTGAATTAGGAGACCCAACGTACAGGTCTTGATGGGCATTGTTCTCCAGCACTTTGAGAATGGCAAGTGGCCTCAGTCTCTAAGTGCTGGAGAACAATGCCCATCAAGACCTACATGATGGGACTCCTAATTCACCATACAATTGGAAAGATAGTTAGGGATTGAGGCCACTTGCCATTCTCAAGGTGCTGGAGAACAATGCCCATCAAGATCTACATTAAAAAGTTGACAAGTTCAACATCCTGCCATGCAAAGACACAGTTGCCAGAAAGTTGGACGTGTTTTTGGTTTGTTTTTTTTTTTTTTAGATATGTCTGTGTGTGTTTTTTGGAGTGTTGGGGTGCAGAGTAAAATTGCATGGGGGGGGGTTTAAGAAAATGTTTGCCCGAGGTCGATATTGAAGATGGCCCTGGATAAGTTCCTACTATTATCATTGATTTTATTAGCCATCTGTACTCCAAAAGAGTAGGAGATTGAGGCCACTTGCAATTCTCAAACTGCTGGAGAACAATGCCCATCAAGACCTACATGATGGGACTCCTAATTCACCATACAATTTAAAAGATGGTTAGAGACACTGAGGCCACTTGCCATTCTCAGTGTTGGAGAACAATGCCCATCAAGACCTACACGATGGGACTCCTAATTTACCATACAATTTGTAAGATAGTTAGAGACTGAGGCCACTTGCCATTCTCAAGGTGCTGGAGAACAATGCCCAACAAGACCCACATGATGGGACTCCTAATTCACCATACAATTCGAAAGCTCGTTTGAGAATGGAAAGTGGCCTCAGTCTCTAACAATCTTTCAAATTGCATGGTGAATTAGGAGTCCCATCATGTAGGTCTTGATGGGCATTGTTCTCCAGCACTTTGAGAATGGCAAGCGGCCTCATTCTCAAAGTGCTGGAGAACAATGCCCATCAAGACCTACATTAAAAAGTTGACAAGTTCAACATCCTCCCAAACAAAGACACAGTTGCCAGAAAGTTGGACGTGTTTTGGTTTGTTTGTTTTTTTTAGATATGTCTATGTGTGTTTGTTTTTTGGAGTGTTGGGGGGTGGAGAGTAAAATTGCATGGGGGGGGGGGGGGGGGTTAAGAAAATGTTTGCTCGAGGTCAATATTGAAGATGGCCCTGGATAAGTTCCTACTATTACCATTGATCTTATTAGCCATCTGTACTCCAAAAGAGCAGGAGACTGAGGCCACTTGCCATTCTCAAGGTGCTGGAGAACAATGTCCATCAAGACCTACATGATGGGACTCCTAATTCACCATACAATTTAAAAGATGGTTAGAGACTGAGGTCACTTGCCATCTTCAAAGTGCTGGAGAACAATGTCCATCAAGGCCTACATGATGGGACTCCTAATTCACCATACAATTTGCGAATGGCAAGTGGCCTCAGTCTCCAACCATCTTTCAAAATGTATGGTGAATTAGGAGTCCCATCATGTAGGTCTTGATGGGCATTGTTCTCCAGCACTTTGAGAATGGCAAGTGGCCTCAGTCTCTAACCATCTTTCAAAGTTCTGGAGAACAATGCCCATCAAGGCCTACATGATGGGACTCCTAATTCACCATACAGTTTGAAAGATGGTTAGAGACAGAGGCCACTTGCCATTCTCAAAGTGCTGGAGAACAATGCCCATCAAGGCCTATATTAAAAAGTTGACAAGTTCAACATCCTGCCAAAGACACAGTTCCCAGAAAGTTGGATGTGTTTTGGTTTGGTTTTTTTTTTTAGATATGTCTGTGTGTGTTTGTTTTTTGGAGTGTTGGGGTGGAGAGTAAAATTGCATGGGTGGGGGGGTTTAAGAAAATGTTTGCCCGAGGTCGATATTGAAGACGGCCCTGGATAAGTTCCTACTATTACCATTGATTTTATTAGCCATCTGTACTCCAAAAGAGTAGGAGATTGAGCCCACTTGCCATTCTCAAAGTGCTGGAGAACAATGCCCATCAAGACCTACATGATGGGACTCCTAATTCACCATACAATTTGAAAACTCATTTGAGAATGGCAAGTGGCCTTAGTCTTTAACGATCTTTCAAATTGTATGGTGAATTAGGAGACCCAACATGTAGGTCTTGATGGGCATTGTTCTCCTGCACTTTGAGAATGGCAAGTGGCCTCAGTCTCTAAGTGCTGGAGAACAATGAGACTGAGGCCACTTGCCATTCTCAAGGTGCTGAAGAACAATGTCCATCAAGACCTACATGATGGGACTCCTAATTCACCATCCAATTTGAAAGCTTGTTTGAGAATGGCAAGTGGCCTCAGTCTTTTAACGATCTTTAAAATTGGATGGTTAATTAGGAGTCCTATCGTGTAGGTCTTGATGGGCATTGTTCTCCAGCACTTTGAGAATGGCAAGTGGCCTCATTCTCAAAGTGCTGGAGAACAATGCCCATCAAGACCTACATTAAAAAGTTGACGAGTTCAACATCCTGCCATGCAAAGACACAGTTGCCAGAAAGTTGGACGTGTTTTGGTTTGTTTGTTTTTTTAGATATGTCTGTGTGTGTTTGTTTTTTTGGAGTGTTGGGGTGGAGAGTAAAATTGCATGGGGGGGGGGGGTTTAAGAAAATGTTTGCCCGAGGTCGATATTGAAGATGGCCCTGGAAAAGTTCTTACTATTACCATTGATTTTATTAGCCATCTGTACTCCAAAAGAGTAGGAGATTGAGGCCACTTGCCATTCTCAGTGTTGGAGAACAATGCCCATCAAGACCTACATGATGGGACTCCTAATTCACCATACAATTTGAAAGCTTGTTTGAGAATGGAAAGTGGCCTCAGTCTTTAACGATCTTTCAAATTGTATGGTGAATTAGGAGACCCAACGTACAGGTCTTGATGGGCATTGTTCTCCAGCACTTTGAGAATGGCACATGGCCTCAGTCTCTAAGTGCTGGAGAACAATGCCCATCAAGACCTGCACGATGGGACTCCTAATTCACCATACAATTGGAAAGATAGATAGAGACTGAGGCCACTTGCCATTCTCAAGGTGCTGGAGAACAATGCCCATCAAGACCTACATGATGGGACTCCTAATTCACCATACAATTTGAAAGCTCGTTTGAGAATGGCAAGTGGCCTCAGTCTCTAAGTGCTGGAGAACAATGCCCTTTAAGACCTACATGATGGGACTCCTAATTCACCATACAATTTGAAAGATCGTTAGAGACTGAGGCCACTTGCCATTCTCAAACGAGCTTTCAAACGATCTTTCAAATTGTATGGTGAATTAGGAGTCCCATGATGGGCATTGTTCTCCAGCACTTTGAGAATAATTCTAGTGCCAGACCTCCTGTGTAACTCTGAACTGGTGAGATGTTGTCAGGAATCTGGGTATGACCAGAAGTGTGTGGACTGACACAGAGAAACGCAGGCTTCAGGTATAGTATAACAATACAATTTAAGAAAGCCTAACAATACATAAATGCAGTGCAAAACATAACACAGTGCAACAAACCAAACCTTCAACAAACAACCATACATACAACACTAAACGTAGTCAGGCAGGCCAGGTCGGTAACAAACGGTCAAACAAGGTACCAGGAGCAGGCGGGAGAGTGGTCAGGACTAGCCGAGGTCAGTACAGGCAGAGTTCATGCAGAATCAGGGTAGAAGCAAGCAGGATCAGGATACCGGGGCCAAGCGAAACAGTACAACAAGGCACTGACTGCAGGTCTGGCCATTCCTTAAATACACCTCCTGCAATCAGCCTCAGGTGATGGCTGACTGCAGGAGTGAGCTTCTGGTTGCTGAGAGCACCCGCTGGCTAGCCCTGGTACTGCAGCCCACAAGGCAGGTGAGTCCCATTGGCGAGTCCATTCCTGACAGATGTAAAGGCTTTTAAATGGTCGCCAATGGAAAATTTAATGTACCGTAGTTTGATGCCATTCCACGGGCGTGCCCAATTTTGAAGCATGAACTGTTTTGGGATCCGTTTACTCGCCAAAACATCATTTTTTATATTTGATCAAAAAGTTGAGTGTTTATATTAGTTTTGTGTTCACTAAAATTCATTTGAGTGTATTGATTCCAAAAACAATTGCATTTCAAAAAATGCTGCACAAGTATCGCCCACCTTCTTTTCTTTTTTTTTTTTTTTTTTTTTTTTAATGCTCTACAGCCTGTACTTTCAAAAAATATTTAATGTTTGGGGCTTCTAAATCATTTTTTTTATTTAAAAAAAAAAATGCAGATTTTTACATTTAGATTAGATCACCGTAATTCACTTCGACAGCTGCAGAACTGCCGTCACGCGGGTGATCAGCTGAACACTGCCGCGATTTAAAAACTAGAATGGAGTTATTATTATTATTATCTAGGATTTATATCGCACCAATAGTTTGCTCAGCGCTTTACAATATAAAGGGAGACAATGCAGCAACAATACAGGTCAATACAAGAGGGATGGGAGGGCCCTGCTCGTTCAGGTTTTTCTTTATTTATGGTGGGCGGGGATAAAAGAATAACATTTGTAAAAAAAAAAAAAAAGAAAAATTTAATCCCTTTTAATAATGGAGGTAAAAAAAAAAAAAAAAAAAGTTTTGCAACTTTGTCATGCGTTAGCAAAATTGTACATACCATTGTAACTACTTCACGTGCTA